CCATTAAATGCCAAAAATGATACTGCACATAAAAGTAATTATTGAATATGTACTCTCAAATTGATTACACACTGATGGTGTGTAATGGGAATGCAAATAGAAATGCAATATAAATGTAATAATGACTGTTTGGCAATGACTTTTTGAATGAAATTTAGAAAAGCCAATGTAAGTTTTAAATCTTCACTGTGTCTCACATAAGACACACACACCCTCGGGAATAACATTGTAATTGTGCAAGAATATCTAAGCGTAAATTTATACTGACAGATTATTCTTAATATCAAGCAATCCCTGCACAAATATTTATATTGTCATGTGTTGAAAATATATTGAAATCATTTGTATTCTGTCACACGACTGAAGCTAATCAACCGTTTTTTAAACGATTAAGAGACAAACAACCAAGACTACCATGTGAGCCACGGCCAGGATGTTGATTTAAATAAGAAAACTTTAACTCTCCCATAAAACTCAGTCCCTACATCAAAATGGCTTATAAGAAAAAGCAAAAAGTAAGTAAAATAGCCCAGTTTTATACTCATGAAAACTACTAAAATATTTTAATATTTTTGGAGTAAAGGGGAGTTTTGAGGTTTGATTAGTTCATCTTGAAATAACTCATTTAGAAATGTAAGAGATGATAATGTTATTTGGACCACCCATATACAGTACATGGCATAAGTTCTTGTTTTATGGAGGTTGTGTACAAAGTGGCTTTTATCAAGAAAATCACTCAAGTGGAGAAGTTTTTCTTGTTAAAAGAATGACATGAAAGGGACACAGCCGTGACTGTTCTGCTTGTTTGTGCAACTTATCCTTCCCATATCTGACCCAAGGCGAGCTGTTCAGTTGTGTGAGCACAGAAGTTGCAACTGGATCAATTTCAAGCTTAGATATGAACACAGGGAACTTGTTTTGATACTTTCTTTTCCCCAATTTTCTTTTTAAGTACCAGTTGTTTAATCACACTCATATGTTCACACAAACAGAAGCAAAATTACTGAAATGAAAAGGAAAACGGGATATAATATATCAGAGTGTTTATTTGTTTATGTTTTAGGAACTTTATTTGCCCTTTTACTTTACTTTTGCCCCCCATTTTCTACGCTTGCAATTAAAAATTACTATCGTGACAACTAAGCAGAATTTTAATGGCGTGGAGAAAGCAAAGTTTGTCGTTAAAACTGCTTTTCTTGCTCGCAAAAGCCCCCAAATTGTGCCTTAGAATTCTAATAATCATGTGTTGTTACATTAAGAATGAAATTTAGCACCCGGCTCTTGCTGACAAGTCGTCCTCCAAACAAAGAGGAGACGAGGACCCTGAAGGGAGCAGAGCGGAGAGTTAATGATCTTTCTGCATGCAAAGGCCATGGTTCAAAAGGCACTGAGACGATAAGAAGTGGCAAAACACCATTAACTCCATGACAGAATCTGCCACAAGTAATATGCTTTCTTTCCATTTCTCCTTGTCTTTTTTTCTATGCTCTTTTTTCCAAAGCCCTCTACTACCCAGCTTCATTCCTTAAGAATTTTTCAGTCTTTTATATCAAATCTTGTTCCTTCCATCTTCCTCTTTTTTTCTTTTAAGTCTTGTCTGGCTCCCATCTTGTCTGGCTCTCATACAGTCTTTTTTCCCTTATGTTTTTAATTATTTTTATCTTATTTTATGATTTACCTTATGGTGAGCTTTTTGTATTTGTCCTTAACCTTGTTGTTGTCAAAACCTAACATATAACAATCAAACTCTGTTTCGTTTGGAATCTTTTGATAACCTCCAGGTACTTCTATTGTGATCACATCAAAAATGAGGAAAAGATCATATTGCCCACCCAGAGACTCAACTTGATCTCAAGTGAGTGTGCCAAGCTTTAATCTTCTCAACAAAGTCTAGCCTCCTAATGAGCAGCATGGGGAGATTAATGAGTCAAACCCACAAACATAACCCCTAACCCTGGTCCTGTCAGCATCATTTAACGTTATGTGCAACATGACAACGAACAGATCGAAATTAATCTGGGCATTTGACAAATGTAACGGAAATTAATTTTAAACATTGAAGAATGAAAATAAAGACAAAACTGGGGTGGAGGTTTGAACCACCAAGTCAGAAGTATCCACAAAGGTTTTCAGGATGGTTGGTGAGAAAATGTCTTCAAGCCTTTGGAAAATGTTATTTCTTGTCCATTCGCTGATTAACCCAGCTTTCTGAATACAAAATCACAGATGTATCGTGATAACTGTTAGCAGCCGTTTCCTTTATGTGTGTTGCCATAACTCCTCACCACCACCTGTTTTCTTTTGTTATCTTTCCATGTGTGTGAGTTGATTCATTTAAAAAACGGGAGGAATTATTGCTCACTGCATGACACTTAGAAGCTAAGCCCAGTCGCCTTACTTGCCTTACTTGACCTTATATTATTAATATTTTTTTTATAAAATGCTCTGAATCTTGATTGCAATTTCTGAAATAATTATTTCATTTATTTTTTCTTGTCTGAATGGTTGTTAAGACTTCATGTCCAAATTGTCAGGTCAGTGTATTAAATGCTACTTGGGGCAAACATTTTTTTCCATTTTCTCTGTTTTTATTCTTATTTTCTTATTATCTACTTTAATGCCTGCCTCTGTCAAGCTGTACAAACTCTGTTGAGGTTTTCAACTACTGTAAGCTCAATTTTTACATCTCTTCTTCTAAGCCAAAGATACAGAGCCAGAGCTCTTTTAATCAAAACATCAGCACTGCTTTTATGTCCAGGCCACAGGACTCACTTCAACTTTGTTGGAGAAGTCTTCTTCAGAATGATCTGAGATCCCAAATTGAAAGGAATGGTCAAAGACAAGGAATGGATATGTCAGAAGCACCAGGCAAGATACATATTAATGGCCTGGACTTTCTGCCATTTAGTCACCGTCATACCTGGTGAGCTTCAAAATGTCACAAACTGCATGCATATAAATCACCAGGGAAGAAGACAAGAATGAAACGGTGTTTGCGTTTCAGGCTCTAAATTGTTTCATGTAACAGAAATGAAAAGAACAGTAAATTATTGTTCCATGGTATGATATTAATTGCATTGTGAAGAATATGATTAATGTTGTCCCACTCACCTTCAAACATATAAGCCGACAGCAGAGTCAAAAGTGACCAGAAAAGATTTAAGGTCAACCAAATAGATAGAAAATTAAGCTAAATGTTATGCAGCAAAGTAACAAGTTTGTCTTTTATTCATTTGTACCTCTAAAAACCATCAGGCTGATGTCACTGCATACTTTCTAAGTGGCAAGAGGAGATAAGGCACTCCCATCCTGCGTACGCAGAGACTTTATACCTCGCTAATTAGGGGCTAAAAACCCAGACCCAAACAGTATTCATCACCTCACTCCAAACTGAATAGAGAGAAATTAAATATTTAGTGATGAGGATGAAAAATACACAGATATATGTCTGCTATATTGGGGCTAAAAGATGAGCTCAGTAACAGGGCATGAGATTAAAAAAAAACTTGTTTTCCAAACATGACATCAAGCCCTTACTTACTGTAATGTCACATTGCCGTATCTGTCACACTTAAGCGACCAAACTGGGGTTACTTTTGCTTTTCGCTTTAATACATCCACAAAATGCAATTATCTTTAAATAAAATAACAACCCAGAGCTCATAAAAAAGAATAGGTAGGTACAGTGCTGATAACCACACCTCCACCAAGCAGAACAAATCCTTCAAATACCTTTGTTGCAAAAGAAAATAACTGTTGCCATCTACTGGCTTGATATGGCACTTCTGCAGCCAAAGCCTTGATGGTGGACAGTGGTGTTGAGAAATCTTACAAAATGACAAATTCTGACATAAATTGAATTATTAGTGGTTTTATTCTGCTTTGTATTTTTAATCAATAAGTTTTCAGAAATAAAATGGCACATTTATTATTGTTTTTTTTGTTTTTTGTGATAAGTCATAAACATGTCTTAATGATTCTTTTACCCAATACACAACCACATCCAATCTGAAGATTGTGTTTAAGTGGGTTTTACATTCTAGCAGGATATATTTCCTCCCATTAAACCAGAGGAGCATTAGTAATGACATTTAGGCAAAGATAAATGATACTGTGGTGAAGTTGAGTTTAAAGCAGTTCTTTTTATTCCCATTAGTTTTGATGCCCTTTTGTGCATGCACAAAGCACCATCAAGCCAACTCCAGGACTCAATCCAGCTGCCCAGAACAGGAAACACACAGTTCCCTCGAGATATCAGTTCTGATATCAGGGGCTGATATTAGTCAGCCCAGCAAAAAATAAAAAAAAAATCCTGAGGCATCTGAGGGATCTAAGGAAAGCCATTAAATGTTAATTGATACACTCGAGCCAGATTGTTTCTGGCTTTGTGGACTAAGAACAGGGGTTTGAACTGAAGCCTGTGGGGTCTTGGTCCTTCAGTTGTAAGTAGGAAACACATCTTGGTTTAGGAATAAAGAGCGTTATAGTAGTCCAAAAAAATAATGACATGAAATATTATTTAATTATTTTTTTCTAAAGAATGTTTTATGTCTAACAATGAGCCAAGATTTTGGGGCTCATAAAGACTTTAGTTTGGGGTTAAATAACATAAGTGATGTTACATTTTCAGATTTGTTTAACCAATAATCTTTTAGGCACTTATGTGTTGAAATATAACTGTAAAATAGAAAAAAATATTTCAAGAGGTTTCAAAAGTAACACAAAATATGTCTCAAGTGTTGTATCGTGATGTACTATAATAAAGGCAATTACATCTGCATGTGTACTATGTAATTGGTATGTGACATAAATAGCAATAACTGTTCTTATGAGATTCACTTCAATATACCTGCCTCATCAACTGCTATCCAAAATGCCTCTCCAGGATGAGGACTCTGGATCTCTGCTGTGCCATCTAAACTCAAATTATGTGGGAAAGCAAGTTTGGACAACGTCTGCATTTCACTTCCTTCGGAGGAATTTCATTCTTTACGCGCTGCCTGTTTATGTCAACACAACACCTGGCGCAGTGTGAGAGTCTCTACACTGTTACGTCTACTTACTACCACTTGATGATGCCAGAGACAACAGGCCTTTTATTAATATCTCTCTAAAGAGGGCCTGATTGGATTTTTAATCAGTCAGAGAGGCCACTTGTTTGTGTTCTGGGAAACTGCGGGTCTACCTGCGCGGGCTTGTGCGCACTCCGGAGGGTGGGAGTGACGCTAGAGTTGACACACCTTTACTTTCCGCGGCGCCCTCTGTCTCCCTCTCTGCAAGCGGAAGAAAAAAAAAGCGACCAACGATCTAAAATGTCGGTAAATGACAGAGCCATGAGAGAAATCCTACTAAAACCGGGAAATGAGCTCTGCGCGGACTGTGGCGCACCGGGTAGGTGGAAGAACTTCGCAAACAAAATGTTATACGGAGACTTTGCGGTTGCTTAGGATTATGAGGGGGTATTGCATAAGTCCGAAGTCTATCAGTAATGTGTATTATTAAATCATATTTTCACATTCCACATATTTCCCAGCCGCAACAGTTTATAACACATGGCAATATATTGTTGTACTCTTGTTATTCTGATTTAAAACGCGTGGCAAAAATCACTCCGAAACTTATTGGGAGGAGCTTCCTGGAGGTTCACTGATCAGATGAAGCTGCTCGGGTCTTGTCCTGCCTTGTGGAAAGTCCAAGACAAGAAATTGTGGGAGTCCAACAAGTCAAGGCATGCTTGAGTGCTGGTTTGCACTTTGAAACTTAAGTCTAGTCGCAGAGGTAGTATGCCATTAGATGTTCCAGTAGGATTTTGGTTCTGTAGAAAACATCTCAATTTTACTAACCTATTAACAGTTAGTTACCTGTGTAGAAGTGAACCTGAGATGTTTTTGTGTTTTTGTTTAAGTCAGATGGCTTCAGAGAACTGTTCCATAGGAAAGTTGTCAGGGATATAGATCAGAAAACCTGGACCAGTGAAGGAAAATGAAAAAAGGATCTACAACCTTTTTTAAACCATGATTTATTTGTAGAAATTGCACAACATATAAGTTCACTTTATAAAATTGTCACATGTTATTGCTGAAAATGGAATAGAATGACCACTTTAACATCAGCTTCACAGAAACTGTCATTCACTTTATTAAAGCTGCTTAGCATTAGCTTTGGACTATATGTACGGTGAATACTTACATTTTTTACTGCTTGTCTACCTTACGATGAAAGACAGACCCACTAATATGTCGTTGCTATTCATGGAAGGTAAAGAGTTTAGGGCTGGTTTTGTTGTTGGCACTTTTTGTTTAAAAGAAATCCTTAAAGTCAAAGACTGGAACAATAGTGAATAGATGCCCTGGGGAAATACATTACTGCTAACTTATCTCTTCATCTTGACATGTTTTCATTTAATGGAGTGCTGAAAAAATTTGCAGGTGGCTTGAATCGATATGCCTTAAAGAAACTCAGTTTTTATTCAGAGTTCCTATAACCAGCCTTTGTGATCAATTTATTTTAAATGTTACAGACGAATTTTGTGGAATGAATGAGCTTGGACATAAGAGTGAACCAGCTTGGTTCATTGGTATTCCAATCCATCTTTTAGGGTTGAAAAATTAAAGACTTCCCTCCTTGGTTTGATATCCGTAATCTAAACTGAAAATGTCTAGTGGCCCTTCCACATTCTTTGTGTCTGTGTATTTAGCTGAAGAAATGTTGCCAGTATGATACAAGAGGCATGGTCAAGGAAGGAAAAAACAATGCTCACTTCTTTGGATGAAGAGAGGAAAAATGAGATAATGATTCAAATAAAGATTCTATTGTGAGGCACAGAGGTTTGAGTTTGGCTTCTAAAGAAGGTGCCGATATTGGGTGAGGTGAAGTCCTGTCCTCGGACCTGGCCACAACTGGAAGATTGGAATACTGGCACAGATGCCAGTGATTTACATTCAAATTAAAGGCTTAACTTTTCACAGGTTCATATTTCAGGTTTAATTTCCTTAGAGATTGATAAATAAAGGCTTTAAGTCGATATTTATATGTTTTCCAGAAATGATGATATATATTTATATATCTATATTTCAAATTAAATTATTCAGATATTTATTTAAAAAAAGATATGCACTTCTTTGGATTTGAATCCAAGATGTAAAAAAGTATTTACTGTTGCTTTGTATTGCAGTTTTCTTTTTGTATTTGATTGATGTGTGTGTTGTTTTAGTTTATTTGATTAGATGTCAAAGAAAGCCTAGCTTTGGTGGTCAATATTATGTGCTTGTTTTACTGAATAGAATCTGAATAAACACAGAATTTACAGATTTATCAGCAGTAAAAGTAGCTTAACGCTGCAAGTTTAAATTGAAATGTCACAGCTGTAAATGAAACATTTATCATTCCTCTTAGCCCCATTATCTCTCAGTACATCTGACTTTCACCTTTTTTTTGCACCACGTGACATTACTTCCATCCCCACTTAATTTTCTTCACCTACTTTTACCTCTGCAGACCCTGGATGGGGCTCTTGCTCCCTGGGAGTGTTCATCTGTTTGGCCTGCTCTGGGATCCATCGCAACATCCCGGACATCAGTAAGGTAAAGTCCCTGAGGCTTTCCCGCTGGGAGGACCATGAACTGCAGGTGAGGGGCCGAGTCAGCTGCACATTCGGTAGTTAGAGAAGTGTGTCAACGTTAATTAGCTGAGGACATTAACTTTTCATACTAATGAGATGCACATCTAATCAGGCCAAAAGGTGGATGTAGCCAGGCCCACCTTGAAACATGAACACTGTTCACGCAGCACTAACTGGATGATGCTGCTGTAATATGTAATAATTTATTACTTTTGGCTTGCCCTTTGCTTTATAGATATTTTAATTCTGGTTGTTGTCCTGGTCCACTGCAAGGGCAGGAGTTATTTCCTTAAAGCTTTCCAAATATTGAGAGTTGCGCTCAGCTAGAATACATAACAAATGGCATAAATATAAAGAGAAAAATTTATTAATGAAAATGTTGGGCATGGATTTATATCATGCATGTTTGTGGAACTGACTAAAAGTGAATAACAACAGTAAAAAAATAATATGAAAGAGCATGTTATAAAGACAAGACCAGACCAACTGTGCGGGGCACAACCCATTAAGTTGTGCATGATTTATTACTTTTATTTCAAATAAATCCATAATAAAAGATGCTTAAAAAAACAACTAGAAGATTACATATGGTCAAACAATCTTTTTTGTGGAACAATAGATGGGTTTAAAATGTCTTTAGAGAAATGAAAGTGTTTTTTGGCTGTCACATAGATGCATGATGCAAAGTATTTGAGCATCATATTGTTGCCTTGTACATTTCCCAGCCTTTATTTGCTCCACAGGAATCAAACGATGAATGATGCCTTTTCTGCACATCTTTATCTTGAAATATTTGTCATCTCGACTCACTTATTAGTTCCCACTAACATCAATTAAGATTTATTTATGGATTTTAGGTCTCTAGATTAGATTTTTCCTGTCACAATAATGCTGTCCATTTGCTCTGCCAAAGTGTCATCCTTGAGTACTATGTTGATTTTGTGAGTCTGTGTGTGTGTGTTTGTGTTTTATAAGTTCATGGCTGAAAATGGGAATGAGCTAATGAGAAGAAAATATGAAGCAGCTGTTCCGGTTTACTACTACAAACCAACCCACAATGACTGCCAGTAAGTAAACACAGGATGCATTATATCATTTGCTGTTAAATGTATATGTCCTGTGTGCTTTCTGCTATGTTTTAAGAAGTATACGTGTGCATGTGTCAAGGTTAGTTGTAAAAGCAAAGGAAGCTAACATGAGCGTATCCAAGTGACCAATTATCAAAGTTTATGCTTATTCAATCATTAAATGTTTGTTAATGATTAACGTCTTAAGTTGTTTTGTTATTATCACAAACAGCTGCAGAAGTCATATTATGTTCACACTTTTTTTAGTCCTAAAAAGTATTCAATACACTATATTCAAGTCTTCGTGACTGTGTGATTCTTTGCCCTTGGTCCCTTACCTTTGAATGACTGAGTGTGAAGTACACTCCTCTCCACCTGCTGCCTACAGGAATATTTTATGTCATTTTTACCAGGAAAGTCAGCTTAGAAAGCTTAGACAAGTACCAGAGTGTGTGTCGTGGAGAAGTCTGATTCAGGTCCTTCTACAGTTTTGATATTTACTAAATTTGGACGTGCCATTCAAACATTTTCAGTCTAGCTTCACAGGGAGTCTGCACAGCAGCAAAAATATGCCAAAATGAATTAAGTAGAGCGTGGACGTGATTAGAAAAAATTATTTAAGATTAACTTAAGTCAAACTCACCCTGCAACAAATGGTCCAGTTTGTTTTCAGTGGATTTATGTGTTGACATTTTCAGTTTTTCCTTCCTTGGTTAACAGCATATATTTTGGTAACTTAATATTGCAAAAAAACGGAAGATTGAATGTTTGACTCAAAAAGTTTCTGTTGCTGCAACTAAATGCTTTAATTTTTTTTTTTACCATATTCAGCGATTGTATCATGGACATGTCCTATTCTTGTGAAAGACATTGTTTTGTTTTCAGCTTTACCAGAGACCTAACCCCTTTATCTTTAAGAAGGGTTGCACTTTCTCCATCTTTACAGTGTCTTTAAAGTCTTTTTGTCTCGTTCCTCCCTCTATTCTGAGGTCAGATGCAAGTTGTGATTTCTGGTTCAGCATGACTTTATTCAATCTTTAAACTTTGTCTTCTTAGTGAGACCTCACATCCTGAACCATGGCGTCTACATTAAGACGATAAATAATGAGGCTTAACTTTGCAGCCTCATGTTTGTGTCCCTTACCCGTCATCTGCAACTTTATTTGATCCTGTAACAAACAAAAAAAGCTGAAAAGAATATCAATGTGCAAATCATGTCCGTTTATATTCTTGAAGTTTCTGTTTTTGTTGTTGTTATTTTTTTGGTTGTGCTGCTGGAAATCCAAATCAGCTACAATTTCTGTCTGTGAACAGGCCAGTACCTTTCTGATAAATATATAATTCCCCGTAGACAGGGTTTTAGGTTACCTGCTGACATAGGATGTCTGCAACATAGTTTGTGGTATTGCCGCTGTTAAAGAGGGCAATATTTGGAATTCTATGAATCTGAAGCAAAGAGTATTTTTCGAAAAAACAGCATTCAGACAGTAAGTTGCAAAAGTTTTGCCACCTATACTTCTGCTTTACTTAAACTGTAGCGTATGCACATGTTAAATAGAGTAAGTAGTTCTGCATTGTGTAAAGAAATACCGATTGCAGCTTGTACGCTTCTCTCTTTCCATCTTAAAACACTCACAGATATTTATTCATATGTATCTTAGCCCCAAATTCAATTATTAGCATAGAAACTTAGCTGAGTGGAAGGTGAGTTTTGGTCAGAGAGGGCACACAGATTCATGTTCTATCAGCTTTGTTTGGCTTCTTTTGCTGAATGTTTGCAGCACCATCCTGCTTAAGAAAAGAACTGCCAAAAAGTAGGTGTTTGTCAGAAAAATTAAGAAACTGTCGGCTTATGCAGATTAAATGAGACAGGTTCTTGCTATTAGATTTGCATTTCAAAGCTGGTTGCTCCTTTGCAAAATATGGAATTATCTGAAAAAAAAACGTGGGACGGGGAATGAGAGTGAAACAACTTTAGACTACAATTATTGCTTTATTTATAAATGTAACAACCCTCTCTGAGCATGCATCCCAGCCCCTTTACACAAGGCTGTCCTCCTGCCTTTGACTCGCATTTTTGGGACACATTAGCTCCATTTCAATCTTATCTGTATGTGTTCAGAGTGTTGAGAGAGCAGTGGATTAGAGCAAAGTACGAAAGGAAAGAGTTTTCTGGGCCAAGCCACAGCTTGACATACGAAGAAGGTGAGTTCATTAATGTTTTCATATAAATGCAGTAAAGCATATTTATACTAACAAGTGGCCCTTGCTGACTTCCTGCAGGTACCAGGGATGGCATCTTGATGAAGAGGGGGCGGGACAACGGACAGTTCCTGAGCAGGCGATTTGTCTTGTCTGAGAGAGAGGGCACTCTGAAATACTTCACAAAATATGACGTAAGCAGCTGGTAATGATGCCTTTGGCAGCCACATGCAGATAAACACACAGTTTAGTGGTGAATAACTTTAGGCTGGTGAGCAGCTCCTTACGACATACAAATATGTGTGTCTATCTCTCCCTCTCTCTCTCTCTCTCTCTCTCTCTCTCTCTCTCTCCCTATATATATATATATATATATATATATATATGTATATACACGTACAAAATGAGTCCCTATTCACTTCACTGCATTTTAGCATGCTGAGGCAAGCTTAATCAGCAGTCTTCTCTCAGTATGGCTGATTCACTAAGCTGCACAGTACACCACCCAAACCATTTAGGTTTGGATGTTTTGGGGCACTTGTTTTATCACAGTAAAGCAGCCAAGGAGAAGTGGGAACATTATATTTCATAACATTGTGTGCAGTGTTTTTTTGTATTTATTATTTTATGTTGATTATGATACATCAGATCAACCTGCCTTGGCAAACAATGATAATGAGAAAAAAAATAAACAGTCACAAAAGTAAAAGAAAAGAGGTTAAAGTGGCACTAGTTTGTTCTGAAGAGCTTAGGGTTTTTAAAGCTTGGTTGGGGCTCTGGGGCATCTATGAGGTGGGTATATTATTCAGGAATAAGTAATAGGAATGGCTAAAGTCCAACTTTTTGGCCAATTTATCTTCTCCACCTGATTGGTGAAGTTTGAGAATCAAAACTTGCTTTGACAGAAAAAAGATAAATTTCTCATTATCCGCCAAACTCATGTAAACAACTATAGCTAGGTTTGCTTTCTGTTACGGTCAGTGACTGAGGAACTACAAAGTAATTGTAATTGTTGCCGGGCTGTTAGGAATAGAGTATCCTGGAATTACTTTTGGTTGTAAAATGATGGATATTAGCAATGCCAACTGATGTGGAGATAATAATTGTAATGTATTTTCATGGTTATGATTTTCATGGCTTCAGTACAAAACAAACAAACACCGTTGGGATTTTTTCTGTGCTGCGATTAAAAAGTCAATTTAGAGGCCAAATTGTGAATTTGCCTCGGTTCACTGAATTTTCCCAATTCTCTCTCTCTCTCTCTCTCTCTCTCTCTCTCTCTATATATATATATATATATATATATATATATATATACAGTATATATACACACACGTACATAGTTTCCTAACCTTCTTGTTCTTTCTTTTTCATTGAAGGCTAAAGAGCCCAAGGCACTAATCAAAGTGGACTCCATTAATGCAACATTCCAGCCAGAGAAAATAGGAAATCCCAATGGCCTGCAGATCACCTACCTCAAAGACTACAGCACCCGTAACATCTTTGTCTATCATGACAGTGGCAAGGTGTGCATCTCTGAACTGTGTGTATGTTTGCGTGTGTGGTTTGGATCTCAAGTCTGATTTAAACATCGCCAGGTGGCCTTCACATCAAATTTCTATCACATGTCACATTAAGAGACAAATGAGTAGAAACCTGGCTCCTGTTGTTGTGGGCGAGGCACCAAATCATCTGTATTTATTTTTACTGGCTGATGGAATCCATTATTGGATGACATCGAAGCAGCGCATCCATCATTCTCTGTCATCGCTAAACAGAATGAAATATATGGAGCAGTTCACTGTTGTCATCAGGCTGAGGATTTGTATGCATCAATTTGACATCCGAAATTTATGGGTCCAAACACTTTTAGAGTCACAGAATAAGTTCTGATTTGGGAAGTGATTAGCTGCCTCTCCACTGCAGGCAGTTGGGCAGGTGGCCTACTAATCACCTCTTTCAGCCATTTTCTTACACCGAAGTGCAAAATCCCCAGGTTTCATCAATGGCGTAATCACTTTAATCCTCATATGTGACCTAAAACATAGTGTGGAGACAAATCAGTTTTTGATGGGGATGTTAAGAAATGAAGGCAGAACAAAGCAGGCTTATTTGTATTGCACATCTCATACACAATGGCAACTCAAAGGGCCAATTATTGTCTCATTCCAGCTAGATCGGAAAATGTTACAAATGACTTGACATGAAGGGATAATGTGAGTTTGACTCAGATAGATGAACAGAAACACTACTCTCCACCCTGGCTAATACCGGGTTGGAAAGAGTTATAAAAGACAGTAGCACCCTATAAGCTTTTATGGAGTAACATACATTTTTTTTACTTTTTTATTTAAATTTTTTAAACTTTAAAGCAGGGAACCTTTGTGACTCCCATAGCCCTGATAGAGCACTTAAAAAGTCATAATCATGTTCATCATCTATCATCACATTCAGATGTGAATCGCTTTCAAATTGCACTGGCAAATTCCCATCCTTTCCAGTTAAAATATAAAACTAGACCATGTGTGTGCATTGAAAATAGAAACAATATATGTAGCTAATAAACTGCAGTGAAAAAGCCACAAAAAAACAAATCCAGCACAGTTCCTCCTGCAATATATCAAGACATGGTGTGTTGAATGAATGTATTTATGCAAAGTCAGTCTGTAAAATGATTTTGATCACTTTCTGTGCTTTCTTCATCAGGAGATTGTTGACTGGTTTAATTCAATTCGAGCTGTTCAGCTTCATTATCTGAAGGTGGCCTTTCCCGGGGCAACTGATGCTGAGGCGAGCACTTAATGCACACACCACACACACATCTATATTGTTATAGTATTGTTTTCATATGCAACTTTTATAATAACTGGATACAACACGTTATCATTTTTATTAACTAATTTGGGTTTAATTATTTTTCTGCTTTCAGCTTATACCCAAACTCACAAGGAACTTTCTCAAGGAAGGGTACATGGAAAAAACTGGTCCCAGGGCAAGTAAACCCTTATTGAAACTACAGTCCATCTGTTTCTTTTTGCCCAGGTCAACATAGGGTGCTAATTATTCATCAATTATTTATGAATTGTTAGAATTATTTACAAAGCCAGACACACTTTCATTGATCTGACATGGCCCATGATTGTTTAAATATGTATTATCTTAGTTTTACAAAATGTACTTCCTGCTTTCTTCGTCACACCTTGTTTCATTAACTCATTGCCTCACCTGTTGTCCATTTGTTAATCACTGCCTCAGTATATATTCTCACTTTTTAGTCTTCCTTATAATAATGTATGGGACCTAGAATTGGAAGAATAGTAGGACATCACACAGTAAACCCATTAATGCATAAATGCCTTAAATTCCTATGAATTTTGAACTGAACTTGACAGTAGCATCTTGTTTCGTCCCAGTCTACTCTTTCTTTAAATGACAAGAGTACCACTAAGATGTTAACAAGCTCAGCTGTCAGTGTGGCTCTTTTCCAGCTCTTTTTGACACACTGACTGGCAGCTGAGAGAACCTGCTCTACCTTTTCGACCCAGTTCATGTTTCTGTCAGCCTGTCTGGAGGAATGGAGAAATGCCTCAATTCTCATGTCAAATAGACGCAGGAAAGATAGAAACGTTGTTAAAATGTGAAGCAAATATACTGAAAAACTCATCATACAATTTAGCATGCACAAACAAGTGGTTTCACACACAGGATTCAGGCAGAGGAGGGCAGTCTGCAGTAGCCTAATGCACTGCGGCACAACCGGCTCTGTTTTCCAACAGATGTAGACTCTCTGTTTAATCTCTGTGTGTCAGGCTGGGAGATGAAGTCACTAACTTGCTGCATTTGGCTGATTTGGTAAATAGGTGCCATCATTCATTTCCCTCACAACGACGAGAGACATATTTGTGGAGAGGCATCTGGCAAAATGAGTCGGGAACAATCAGTCGCTCAGCCGTGTGGCACAGTGTGAATATCAAACACTTTTATGAGAACAGTTTGGCAGCAGTCAGGGACCTGAGTGCCTTGTTATATGAAGCACAGCACTTAAAAAGGCTCAAGTCACCTGGGCACTCCAATAAACTCAAGAAAGGTGCTGTGGGTACTTTACTTACTTCTGTGGCTCCTTTTGAAAATACATTTGGGAGGAAATGCTACACCGACATTGTCGTTCAACCATGAAAATGATCAGTGCTGTGAAGGTGTGCTGTAAACATTCCAAAGCCCATTGTATGCATTAGGAAGTGACAGAAAACCATGCAAATTCCAGTCACAGTGGAAATATGAATATTGGATGCACCCTGGATATCTCGTCGGTCCTTCGCGGGGCCACACGGAGACAAACAACTATCCACACATTCTGAGCGGCAGCTTATAGTCATCAGTTAGCCTAACATGCATGTGGTTTTTAACTGTGGGAGGAAGCCACGGTACTCAGACAGAACCCAAACAGACACAGGGAGAAGCCCCCCAGGGGATCGAACCAGAACTGCTCTTATTCTGAAGCTACCACCATAACTCCATGCTGTTGCTTATGCATATTGGACAGGCAAAATTTGACAAAAGTCAAGACTTTGGTACATTTTTTGACCAAATTAACCAGCCAACTAATGCATGAATTGTTAGAGTAGCTCAAGAAGGAGGTATGACTCACTATTTGGCTCACAACCAGGCAGACCACTTATTTGGTACAATGACTGCTTTATCTCTGTCTCACTGATTCCATGTCTGCGTCTACCTGTGTATCTACGTAGCAAACAGAAGGCTTCAAGAAACGCTGGTTCACTCTGGACCAAAGGCGACTCATGTACTTCAAAGATCCACTGGTATGGCATCTCAACACACACAAACATCTGCTCACACATTGTGAGGTTTTCGCATGCTGTGTTATTTTAGACCTAATTTTCCTGACCACAAACAGCCTACAGGGGAAAGATTTTTGCTTTGAAACTGTATAAATTAACATTATGGAGTAGTAGTAAAAGTACAAAAACCAAAGGGATGCAATGTGCAAAACTCAGCAGCACGTGAGCTGGCTGTAATTGGACATTGCTATTGGTGTAAAATAAGGAAGTAGCTGAGACTCGTAATACTTAAACTAAACTCACTATATCAGGTATACACACAAACTGCAGGGGGCAAAGAGTTTTTAAACAGATATCCAGGAAACAAAATGTCATTTCTGTAGCTTTATTTAAGTCCAGATAGTTATGCATGTAGACCAATTACACAGACATATTTTCCCATGTTATTGTACGTTAACTCTTCCTTTAGTACTAGTACAACTACTGTTGCTGCCAGAACATTCTTTCTTATAAAATCCAGAATGCTAATTTACTGTCAGCTCTTTCCTTACCAAGTAGAGATTTGAAACAAGAGCCTAAATCCTATGTCTATTTTTACTCACATATTAACTCTTGTGAGAAAAGCATTTGCATTTGAAATACGGTAGCGTGCTGTTGCTAAAACGAAAAGGTGCCGTACTCTCCCAATAGCACAGGGAAGAGTCTGCCCCTGCAGCGGTTCACATTTCTTTTGTTCTCCCTCTGTTTTTGAAGGATGCCTTTGCCAAAGGGGAAGTTTTCTTGGGGAACAAAGACCATGGTTACAGCGTCTCCCCAGGCTTACCTGCTGGCACCCACTGCAATGGCGCTTGGCAGTATGGTATCACAATAGAAACACCTGAGCGCTCCTTCTTGTTTACTTGTGAGACAGAGGGCGACCAGCAGGACTGGCTGAAGCACTTCAGTGATGTCCTTAGTGCTCAAATGTCCCCACAGGATTACACAAGTAAGAAATCACAAGAAATAAGTGCTACTAAAAAAAGATTGTGGATTCATCAATATTGACAGTAGTTAATTGACCTTTTTTCTTTTTTCTTTTAAAGATCATTTAAAGAAAGTAATTTAGAAATCAAAATGCCTGGGCTGATGTTTTGTATTTTTGTCAAAATATTCTCAAAAGTTGTTAAAAATGTTTGAACATTGAAAACAAATGTGTGTGTTCTAGTGGAGGCCTTGTTCAAGCACAGGCACTGATGGACCAGAGGCCAGTGGGTCATTTTCCAGTCCTCTGCACTCTGAGGACCTTCTGCCTCTCTGCTGACCTGAAATCTGCCTACCATCACCCCTATGATCGCCCTGCAGGCTCCAGACAATAAAACAATAAAACCAAAGTATGACTGATAAACACTTAAAAGGGAGTATTAACACCTGAAATGTAACTATCGTGTTTTCATTTGGTAATGGATTGTAAAAAATTCCACTATTCTCATCTATGTCATTGCATGATTTTGTCTTTTAAAACCTAAATGTAAAAAAATATATATAGTCACATCCATTCCACAACCTTTATTCAAAGTGGATGGACAACCGAGTTCAAACAAAGTTTTGACTGGCACTTTGCATTTCTTGTGTTTCTGTTAAATATAATAATGCACATAAAGGAGAAATACCATTTTATTTTTTGATCTTGTGTCATTATGATGTAGAACAGAGCCTCCTTGTGGCATAACTTTGATGATTCACCAATAATATCAACACTAATTTATCAGTAAAACATTTTACTTGTGGTCTTTCTTGACTTTTTAATAGAAAAAGAAAATGTATGTTTTTTTTTACACTATCTACCCTGGGGGGGACATATGTAGAACATGAAATGATAGATAACCATTAATAAAGGTAATTCTTTCAAATGGTGTTTCAGAGTCTTTACAGTTGCCCTGTAATTGAAGAACTTCAGATTGCTATTATTTTTTAGCGAGAACCCCACAGTGTCTAAGGACGTGTGTGATGTTTTTGGTTACCAAACATGTATTTGTGGAGTTGCACACCTTGCCAGAAGTTTCTTGGTGTCTAAAACTACACCTCGGTGCTCGGAGACGGCAGGCTGAGGCCAGGGAAAAATACCGCATAAATCTATAGGCCCATGCCAGTTTGTCACCTTGGTGAGAAAGAGGGAGGACAGATGTGAGAAGGGAGGAGAGGGCTGTAACCAAGAAAACTTCAAAGACAGCAGTGCTCCATCAAAACTGGGCTCGAGATTCAAGGAGAAAGTGTTCATCTGCCACCAAGTGAATCCATAATTAAAGAAGAGCAGCAGGGATTTATCATGGATGATTTGGGAAAGAAAGGGATCCGGACATGATGTCCCGACTGCCCACATTAGGACTGAAAACTAAAGGAAGAGAAACAAGCAAAACCTTGACGGGATGCACTGCAGTTGCTCATTGAATCAGGACATTTAATGTTTAAAGGTTACTCAAAACACCGTCTGTGTAGGAAGGAAGAGGATGCTTCTCCGGAGATGTCAACAGCAGAAGTCCCCTCAAGCACATTTCGGCACTGCAGGAGTTTTCTATCAAGGACTTTGAGCACAGGCTGTCCATTTGTAAGGCACTTTGCTTCCCTATGGCTTTAAAATGACTCATTACCATCCCAGATAAGGTCAGAGACTAATCTCTGTGGTTTTTGAATGAAAACGCATCGATGTCGGAGGTATGTTGGTGCCTTAATCCCTGCTGTGTCCATTTGAAAATGTTGTTGGGTTGTCATTTGTAAAGAGAAGTACTTTTTTTTTTATCTGGAGATGCACACACAAAGCTCCAAGCAGCTTTGGGACCAAGCCTGCTAGCCAGAGCAACATTGTTTACGTTTACTTTTGATCATTGCAGTTTTTAATCATCAGATTTACTGCCCTTTTTTTGTTTCCTCCTAGATTAGACTGAATGAAGTCAAATATCTCTTTGGAAATGTTTGCTTTACACCTAAACTGTTTTAGTGTATGCTCAAATGTGTTCATCTGACTGCCTTTTACATTCTGCTGCCACATCTCTTCACCCCGTGAAATGTTTGAACAAACTTAAGCCCTTTTTTCCATTTTTGGCAGCCGACTGTCAAAGAGTGTGAACTGTGTAAACTGGGTCTTCTGGGTCAGAACCTGACCTCTAATCTTTGATCTTTAAACCGGCGATGAACTGCACTCCTAATAGCAGCATCACTCCCCAGCTGGGACTCGGACTGGGCCCGGGGGCTGGAGAAGGTGCTTCGGTAGGAGCCGGTGGTGGCGCTGGGGGCAGCGGAGGCCTGTGGGTGACCTCCCTGCTCGGGGCCACACTGATGATCATGTGCGCCCTGGGAGTGGCGGGCAACACGTACACGCTCATCGTCACGCGCTCGGCCGCCCTGTGCCGGACCGGCTCGATGTATGTTTACATCACCAACTTGGCCCTGGCGGACCTGCTGTACCTGTCCACCATCCCCTTTGTTGTCTGCACCTACTTCGCCCACGACTGGCTGTTCGGGGAGGCCGGCTGCCGCATCCTGCTGAGTCTGGACCTCCTCACCATGCACGCCAGCGTCTTCATCCTGGTCGCCATGAGCATGGAGCGCTACCGCGCCGTGGCCAAGCCCTTCAGCGCGCACAGATCCTCGTCCCGCAACAGGAGGCTTGCGGCGGGATTTATCTGGGCTCTCGCTTTCATGCTGACACTTCCCATGATGGTGATGATCCGCCTGAGGGAAGGCAAACCCACCGCAGCCGGGTTGGTGAAGAGAATCTGCTTCCCTACGTGGACACCCGAGGCCTTCAAGACCTACATCACCGTGTTATTTTTCACGAGCGTTTTGATCCCTGGATTGGTCATCGTCGGGTTGTATGCCGGGCTGGCAAGGCGTTACTGGACAGTGCAGGCTAGCTTAGGTGGGAGCAGCCGTTCTTCCCGGAGGAGAGGGCTCAAGCAGAAAGTCGTGTCAATGATCTTAAGTATTGTAGTTGCTTACTGGGCTTGTTTCTTACCTTTTTGGGGATGGCAGCTAGCTAAACTGTTCTCTCCGGATTCTCTTAAAACTTTGTCTCCATCTGATCATAATTATGTAAATTTCTTTGTCACGTGTCTGACCTATGGGAACAGCTGCATCAATCCATTTCTGTACACTCTTCTTACACGGAACTATAAGGATTACTTAGCCCAGAAAGGTCAATCTGCAGGGTCAAGCAGGGCTGATCCTGGTTCAGCTGTGACCACCCCACTGCAGGAGCTGTAATGGACGAACATGGACAGTCAAGCTGTAACCCTGACAGAGGACATTTTGACCAGAAAATGCAAATTATTCTGTGCATAAAGTAAAAGCCTTTCGGCTCAAAAATATGGATCGACTGAGCTTAATGTTATTTCAATGATAAATTCAGTTTGTTAACTGATCCGTGTGATCAAATATTAAAAGCGAACTGAATATATTAAGTTAAACCAACCAGTGCATATTGATGCTAAAAAAAAATAATTCACACTGCTTTTTCACATCACTGTTTGTTGAATAGACTGTTTAAACTCATCAGATCTGAAAAATAAGTGTGACGTTTGAATTATACAAAACTTTCATCGACACTTTTGTTAAATTATTATCTTTTTTTTCTAAAACCATTTTGTACATGATAGATGATGATTTGATGTTGACTACCATTAAAGGCTGACTGCATATCCCCTAAAAGGGAGGGCAAGAATCATCAATGTTTGACTTTACTTCTCTAGAATTGATGGTGTTATTTTTAAGTTTCTGCTGATGTTGAAGTTGATATGAGATTTTAGATATTAAGCAGTTGGAATAAAAACTAAACCAACAAACGACAAAGAAAAAACATGCAGTAAACTAAAAACTCCTGAGTTACTAAAGATTAAAAAAAACACAATGAATAGAACAAAAAAGCTAGGAATAGCTCTAAATTTATGGCCACTCACTCTTACACTCTCACCCATGTCCACACACACATATGCACATGCACATTTCCTCTCCTTCCAGAGAATGTCATTGTGTTGTGCTACATTCCTCAGCTCCAGTACATGGCTCTTTTGAGTCCTCCTGTAAATTGTTTCAAATTGAGTGCCTCACCTCACTTCTTCTGAAGATCATCCTTCCTTTGGAAAGTCCTGTTTTGTCCTGTGCAGTCCGCTTGGTTCCTCAATGTTCTAAGTTTAGATTTTTTTACACTGCAGCTCCCCATTTTTATTTCAGATTTTCTCCCTCTTTATTGCCATCTTTGATCAATCAAAGTATTTTGGATTTACACCTCCATAGAACCACAGACATGGGTATGTGTGACATTAGAACTAATCATTCTGATAGAAGTGTTCTTTTCTTTGACATTGTTAATGCCCTTTTCTACAACAGTTTTGTGATCGGATAAGAATGTGTAATATTCAAGTTTTGTTTATTAAGACTTCCCAAATGACAGCGTCTGTGGTGCAGGAACACAAATACCACACTCTTGTATTTATTCAGCTTTTATTGGAAACAAGTTATTAATGAGCTATCAGCCTTCCATGTGGTAAGATATGTTGTGGCTCCATCTTTAGGCCGTTTGTTGTTATTACAAAATAAGAACAATTGCAGTTTATATGCAAAGGAAGGTTTTTTTAAGCTTGACAAAAGATATCGAATCATGTCTGGCCTCAATGTTTAGAATGTCTCTTTCCATTCAACAACAAGCAGAGAGAGAACAAGCTTCACATCAGGGTTTAGTTCAGCTTCTACTTGATCTTGATTCCCACAATCTTTGCATCACCGCTGACACTGAAGAACTGGTACTTGACATCTCCAAGACGATTGGGGAAGTTGGTCATGGTTCCATCAGGAAGTTTGATGTAGAACTGCTCATAGTTGAAGTTGATGTAAAACTGAATTAAGAAAAAAGATAAACAAAGGAGGTAAAATGCAACTACCTGTTATACTGCTGCCCAAACAATGATAAAGAAACATGTAGAAAATGTAGAACAGATGCAGAGACATAAGGCTAGGTCCTTTTCTCTCTAAACAGCTGTTTAGTTTTATGATCCTCTATTTATTGTGGTCTGTTGGCCATGCAGTTTCCAATCGGAATGCCAAGCCCACTTATAATGTCCTTATGGTAAAGCACATTCTGAAATAGTCCTACTGGCTGCAATAAGGAAAATATAGTGGCAAAGATTTGGAGCGAAAATTACTTTAAATACAGGGAACAGGACATTATGTGAACTATGAACCCATAAAAAAGTGGTTCGAAGACATCCATGGCTAAACAAGGGTAAAACTGGCAGAATTCAACTTAGTTTTTCGTTACTATTAAATAGAGAATCGATTAAAATAGAAAAAAAACAATGACTTAAACTAAATCAACGTTTCTGTGGCAGTAACTCACAAATCTTCAGTAGGAAGCCACTGAACTTATTTTGGTAATTTAGGGTGTTTTATCTCTTGTCCTCAGACAGTTCTTTTTAATCTTGGACCTTCCAGGCTAATAAACTCTTTACTATGTTATGAGGATTGAATATGTTATTGAATTAAAGGTGCTCAGAGCATCTTGTGATCATCTTCTGTAAACCAGTTTGTGGACGTCTTTCCTTGTTTGCAGAAGATTCAAATTTCACTGTTTGTTGGGAACCCTGTGTCTAAATGATTAAAAGTCACACTTTATACAGTACCAACACACCTTGCATTCCTCCCCACGTGCAAAGGGAAAGTCTGGGATCCGATGCTCATCGCCCCAGCACCCACCAGACAGGGAATTGAAGACAATGGTGTTGGTTTCTCCTTCAGCGTCAAACCGAGGGTTGAAGTGCATCGCAATGTTGTCGGAGTCATGACCAATGTTGATCGCAAAGCTGAATTGGAGGGAGGATCAGAAACTGCGTGAGTCATCAGCATGTCACACGGTAGGTTATTTCTCCTAAACATTAAGATAAACACACATCTTTAGCTTGGGTAAAACTTACCTATTGCAATCATCTTTGGGCTTAAGGCGAATCTTAAATTCCTGCCCCTCCTTGAATGTCATGTTTTGGACTTTCTACAATGGAATTTCACAGAGAACATCATGGAAAATGATGACATGAGAAATTAAAGGTTAACTATGGCCATACTTGTAAAGAAATGTGAAGTAAAATGAGTCAAACTGAAAAGTAAATCTATGCCTTCATATGACACACACAGAAAGGTAATGTTATACAAGAGTCAGTCAGCTTCTTTTTTAATTTTAGAAAACATTAGCAGGTCTATTAGTGAGCCTTGTGTGTGCACAGAATGTGTAACGAAAGGAGAGATGATAGGAATTGTTCTTATCTCGGCTGTTGATGATCAACTAGGACACAACAATGTACCCAAAGTTGTAATACTACTGAAACAGGAAGGTGCTCTGTTTGCTTGTAAGCGAGTGAACCTCGACACTAAGGATGTTGTAAAAACATAAAATAATAAAAAAATATCCAACAAACTTTGTAGAGTGTGAATCCATTTTCAATGTATGTACAAACCCAGGATACTTTATAATCTGTAGTATAAAATATCAAAAGGGTGAACCAAAAGGAAACGAAAATTAAGAAGGGAGAAAAACAATTAACGATTAACTTTATCAATTTCAAATATTTTACCAGGGCAAACACACTGGAGTACTGTCTTTACATTTTGCGGACATGTTAGCTTTATCAATAAAGCAAACAATCTCATGCACATCCGTCCCACCTGACAATGTGCTGGACATCTCCAGATTGTTAAATATGACCTTTAATATGCTGGCCCCCATATCTTCCCCACACCCACAGTTACCTCAGCCTAAATCGCCCCCATGACTGATAAATGCTGGCTTATGATTGACTTCACAAGCAAGGTGATGGAGAGTATTCCATGTTGGGAACTGAATAATTAAAATATATTAAGGGGTTGGTGTAACAGAGCATTTTCTAGCCTCTGGTCCTGTTAAAGCATAACTTAAATACTTAGAAATACCCTTTGATCTCAAGAAAAAGCAGTTATCGGTGGCTTGGAATTTTTTTTTTTTGTCTTAACATCTTTATCAAATTACATCAGATGAGAGATTGCTTATTAGTATATTTTAAGCCTGCTGAATACTTTTAATGTTTAACAAAATCTTCAATTAGATGCAAGAAACATGTATGAACAAACATTTTTTTGCAGAAGATTGAATTTCTGTGATTTTAAACCAAATCAACTGCAACTTTAGAAATGCTGGTAAATCAGGGTTTCTGACATTCCAAATATCTCACAGAAAGTGACGTGTACACATTGTACAACAATATCAGTATTTCAACCTGAAAATATATGACTATTTTACATAATTGTGAGACCTAAAGTTAAACTATAATAGGGCAAATGTTGCCATAACTCTATGCGATGTGTTAATTGATACTTTTTAGAAATATATCTGGAACCTTTGAAGTCTATTTAAAGAGACCACAGTAAAACTACTTAATTTTATGTAATAATCTAAATCAAATAACACAGTATATGTAAATGCAATAAAAGGAACACCGCTTACCATCTTGGCTGTCCTCAGTGTGTTGTGCCTCGAGTGACTCACCTTCTCTGTGGGCAGGGGAGTCATTTATATGAACACTGATGTTGAAACAGGAAGCAATGAGCCAGGAAAAAGGAAGATACTACCTGTAAATGCCTTTCAGTGAATATCTTTGTTAAAATTTCTATGTTTAAAAAATGAACCATTTTCACATAAATACACAGTTCTAACATGTTTTGAGAAAAATATTACCCTGATAGTTTTTGTTTTGTATGTATTTTGATTCCAAGCTTGTCTTTCATTGTGAGAAAGAAAGAAAAGTTTGTTGATTTGAATCAACTGATTTAAATCGACTTGATTTACATGGGTAAACGGTTATATCATTTTTCTGGAATAATCCACTCCTGTGAGACGTTTTTAAATATGCTTTTGGAAAATCAGATTTAAAGTTAAAATTATATAAATTACCCCTACTTTCTACCATAATTTTGCAACACCTGTTTCCCCTCTTCCCCCCAGAGAGGAATTGTATAGTTTGAGGGCGTGTGGGACAAAGGAGATTTTCAGTTTGGTGGTCCAGCATTTGGGAAGAAGCAGTTACTGAGCAGAACCATTTACAGAAAAAAAATGTATTTCTTGTCATACAGCCGCAGCCACATTTAGAGCAACCTTTAATCAGAACTACATGGTGTTTATACAGTTTATTCTTTTGCTGAAATACACGCATTGACTAGGCTTTCCTTTTTGACTGCCGTTGCTGGTTTTGGGGCATCAGAACATTTTTCAGATCCTTATAATTATACACTATACGTGTCACAGACTTCTCATGAGCTTTAAATAAATACGTCAACTCAGTTGGGGCCCAATGAGAAAGCTCACAGCCGCTTTGAAGGTAAGTTTGTTACATATCAATGGCTGGCTTTTACAGTTGGATCAAAGCAATTTTATAACAGACCAATTTTATTTTTATTATTATCAATTTATTTTATGTGGAATTTTGGGTTGTTGAATTTCCCAGTGATATTAAAAGCACCATAAGCCTCTTCCTGTTGTAACCAATCCACTGCCCGTATTTTCTAATGGGCGTGTCAAGTCTGAGCCTAGCAGAAATCTAAGCCAACCAGAGAGAAAAACAACTAAGTTAGCTTGGCAGCTAGCTTCGAACTTCTGGTATACTTTTGATTTACAACAGCTTATACACTCTGCATTTGATTAATTTCCCAATTCAAATTTTATACGCATAATTTACCATGAAATCCGTAACACACCTTGGGAATATTGATATTGTTTCCTTAACTTTTTCATAATTGCAAGTTAGATTTTTTTTGTTGTTGCTAACATTAGCTCGCTGTTTTGTTTAATAATCAACCTAACTTTACACTTTGCTAACGGCTAATGGGTTACCTTGTCGAACAAAGCGTTTGTTTGTTTACGTTTGCTGTTTGTTATTATTTCACAATCTAGACATGGCGTCGTTAACAGCGACAGAACCAGCGGTGTGTCCGGGTTCAATATCAGCGGCGGAGTCCATCGTGCCGGCTTGCATGTTTGCACCGGACCGTGGTTGTGCCGAAGATCAGTCCAGTGGAGAAGTCTTTGCAGAAAGCGATGGCACAAATGGAGAGGCCGTGGATCATCTAGATTTGAGCAGCAAGGTGGGCCTGAGTGAATTGTAGCTAGTGGAGCTTTGTTGGTGTTTCAAATGAGCCCGTTTGTGCTTCGATTCGCTGGTTGCAACCCTCGCTACAGAAACGGCTCAAACAGTGAATTTTGCCACGTCTTTGCATGATACAACAATACCTAAATAGATCATGCTGTATGTGCACAGTGCAATTACATTTTTTGATAATATAATTTTAAATATTCAGCTTGTAGTAAATCGATTAAGATAGACTGAAATGCTCATTTTGACAGTGACGATTTTAGGGCTTTGTAACGCTGCCATTCATCCTAAAATAACTATAGATGAAACACTATGGCATTGACCATACCAGTTCATAAAGCATTTCAAGTCTCAGTTTTGTCCATTCTTCCTCTGAATATGTTTAACAGTATATGACGTAACAAAATCGCAAATGTTTTCATTCATTTATTGTCTAGAGAGAATGCTTTTTTTTATTTATGAAAGTTTGCTTTAAAATCTCAATTAGTTTTCCACCAGCACTGATCTAGCTCTGTACACAGTTTGGCCTCTGGAGCACACAGTAGAAAACACTAATTGGTTTGACCACGATAAACTTGCAAAGCGTGATGATTCATCACAGATGCCACTGAGCCCTGACACCACCTTGTAAAAATGTTTTGTACAGAAAAGTTTTAATTGGCATATGAGAATATAATTATTGTAATTTAGTTTTCGACAAAAGTTTCCAGCATTTTTTTTTCTCATCCATGTGATTTAATGTTTTTACTGTGATGTTTTTGATGCAGTGCTGAGCGGGAGATCGCAAAATGTTTTCTGTTCTGTGGTGAAATTCCCCAAGATGTTTAAATCTTTAAAGATTACATCCTCTTTCTTTATTTTTAAAGGAAGATTATTTTTAAACAACTATGTGGTTTTTATGTGTAATTTGTTTACAAAGTAGATATCTGATAATTACTGCCTTTAAGTTCTATCTTGAAATGACACTTTTTTAGACCAGATCATGAATACAGCCATGAACCAGGTGTCTTTTAAGTCTTTATTGGTCATTTATGCGTTGCTGAATTGCACATTTTGGGATCAGCCCAGATCAGAAAAAAAATCAAATGTCCCATTTAATTCATTTGGAGCACATTGATTCAACTCAGAGGCTGCAAAACTGATTGAATAATGACTTTAAGACACTCAGAAAGGATTTTTTAAATGTGTTTTTTAAGTTTTGATGTCTTTTCTGTTGTTTCTCATCTTTCAGCTGGCTCTTGTGAGTCCATCAGGGGAACAGTATGATTCATTACTGCGACATCTGAGGGAGCGGATAGATGAGGGCTGTGGGGAGACAATCTTTGTGGTTGGGATGGGCTCAGGTAAGACTTCAGAGGAAATTTAAGATTATTCTTAAGTATTTCTGCATCCTAATCCAGGTGTGTCATAAATGATCTGTCAGGGCTTCCACACATCTGTCTTACATTCAGAGAAAAGAAAAACAATAAATAGTCAAACAATTGAATACAACTTTTATGGATATGTTTGTTTCTAATTATTCTGGAATAAACTATAAAATTGTGTACAAATAGGGTTGTACTATATTTTAAAAAAGGTAATGATTATTGAACAGCAAAACGTTTGGCTAAAGTTTTCTTTTTATTTATTCAACATCCCTTTTATAAAGATGAATTGCTTTGATTAAAAAAACAGGGCTGCCACTACTCTCGGAACAGTGAGACAAATCGGAGGGTTTACAAAATGTCTTTAATTGAATAATGGATTTAAGATTTTTGCTTGGGTTTAATGTACCAGAAGATTTGAATTAAGCTCGTTTTTATTCATCAGCAGCTGCATACAGCAAAGATATCCCATAGATGGCACCGAGGGCTTTGAACACTTAAGGACAGTTGTTTCTGTTTCGTTTTTGTTCAAACTGAAAAAAATATGTGATGGAAAAAGTAGAAAGGTTGTCCATGTTCAGTTTCTGTTTTGCTCCACCTGAAACCAGTAAAATATATTAAGTGCATAAATTCACATTTCTAACAGCATATTTATCTTTTTCAATTGATATATATCAATAAACCAAAAGAAAGTGTTCTTTTAATTAATCTTCCAAAGACGAATCATTATTGTGCAGTAGTGGAGTCAGCTGTGCCTCCCAGGCACCTGTTTGTGCTCTGCTCTTCACTCTGTTTCACACACAAACACAAGGCTCTTTGTTGGCAGCCAGACTTGTGCTTTTTGCCTGTTACAGCAACATGTCTGACCCATGTGGCATGCTAGGGGGGGTCAGAGGGCACGTGTGAAAGAGTGTTATTTTTCAGTGCTCAGCAGAGAGACTGCCACTTGTTCAGTTCCACATATGTCAGTATTTATGACTGTCCGGCTGGTTGGAAAAGCAGCTGAGTGAACGACTGATTTTCAGTCTAGTGCAGATAAACCTTGTGGCCAACTGGAGTTAGCAGTTTGAATTAAAACATAGAGATTGAACCCATTTTAACTTCACTGTGGCTGACTGTGGGTGTGGACTTTATATGATCTAATTTTCCACAGTGTTTCGGACACTTCTGAGTTTAAAAAATAGTAGACAGCCAGTCAAATTGCCTACTTAGATTTCCTAGCCATGTGTCGCATCATAATGGGCCAATACGGCCCTGGACCTACAGCTGAGATTCTTTTAAACTCAGAGCACCTCCATGAAGGAAACATTGTATGCTGTGGTGACATTAGTCTCTATTTTGTCTGAGAAAATCTTTCCTTTCCCTTTTCTGTAGATGGTGGCGACTATGGTCTGAATGAGAAAGACATGGAAGCATCAGTAGCCACTGTTCAGTCGCTGTGTGAACAGATCGAGGCCGACTTAATCCTGCTGAGAGAGAGGTCAGACACTGGTGGCAAGATTCAGGACTACCTCATCCGTCGGCGTGTGGGCGAACAAGACTTTCTGGAAGTTAGGTAACGGAGAGGTTCTTAGAAGTTGTATTTTTTTATTAAAGGGAGAGCGGTTGAATGTTTTCAGAATGTTTTCAAATTTGGCTGATTAGCTATCAAACAAAACTAACAAGCTGCTAAGCAGCTACTTAAGCAGTTTGTGCACCCTTGTTTTAAACAAGAAAACTATGATGTTTACCGGTTCTAAAATACAAATAATATTCACCTTAGTATACGGATTTTGGACAAATTAAACTAAGATAATTAGAGCATCTGGTTACAGTTTGGTGATTTGATTCATGGAATTGTTTTCTACATATTCTTTTAGTTTTTAATCAGATGTTTTGATATAATGTCTCAGAGTTTAATTACTTGTGTTGATAGTTTTGCAAAACAATGCGGAGCTCAGTCCACTCGGTGTGGCTGACATGTCGCATTTATATCTTTTTAAATAACCTTTGATTGACCACATTCCCTCTGCTTGAGTCATAAGCTCACATGTCAGTCAGGTGAACAGCTGGGTCCAGTTGTTCTTTGTAAGACATCAAAACTGAAAATCTACCTGGTGGTGTGGATTACATAAATAGATTGTTATTTATTAAAGCACCTTGTCAGGTTCTTTTTGTCTTGTGTTTTCCATCTGAGAGGCTTGGTGTTGAAAGTTGTAAATTTCTGGCAGTGATTAGATTTGGTTGCTATAAAACTTAGCAGAGGTGTTAATTGCCACAATGTTACATCAGAGACTTTGAAAGGTTCAGAGTAAAAAACATGTTTCACACATGGAGAGAACTTGGCATACCTAAAATCTTTTAAACTGTTTGCATATATTTCTTAATCTGAATTTCTCGCGGATAACGTTCTTTTATCCTGTCTTCAGAGTGGCGGTTGTTGGGAATGTGGATGCCGGAAAGAGCACGCTTCTCGGAGTGTTGACCCATGGCGAGCTGGACAATGGCAGAGGCTTTGCTCGCCAGAAGCTCTTCAGGCACAAACACGAAATGGAGAGTGGCCGGACCAGCAGTGTGGGCAATGACATCCTGGGCTTTGATCAGGAGGGGCAGGTGAGCCTCTGCCAGCTCTGAAAGGTCACCAGAAGGAGAAAGGTTTCTGGTAGTTTTCATTTTACCTTTAATGAAAGACAATATTTCAGATTATGTGGAAGAAATGGAAAATGCAGAAAGCCACACTCCTCAGTTTTACAGCGTAAAAATGTTTATGGTATTACAAGGAAGTTACATTTTTTTAAAAAGTTTTTATTATTTTTTTTATTACTCTTTCTCTAACACACCATGGCTGATAAAGCGACATTGCAAATGTGTTCAAATATATTTAGCGTAGGTCATATAAATGTAAATGTTTTTTCTTTTTGATTGGGAATGTTTTCTCTTTTCCTTTATCTGCGTACCACTCTTATCTCAGGTGGTTAACAAGCCAGACAGCCATGGTGGGGGTCTGGATTGGACCAAAATCTGTGAGAAATCCTCAAAAGTCATCACCTTTATTGACCTGGCTGGCCACGAGAAGTATCTAAAGACCACCGTGTTCGGCATGACGGGCCACCTGCCTGATTTCTGCATGCTAATGGTGAGACTGGAAAAGTTAAGATTGTGGAATTTAGTGGTCGATTTTCAGTGGAAATTCTTTGATTAAAGCACATCTAATTATTTTTCTCCTGGTCATATTTAGTTCTCAGTTTTTAACTTTGTTTACCAAATGTCTTTGAAGGTTGGCAGTAACGCCGGCATCGTTGGCATGACCAAAGAGCATCTCGGCCTGGCCCTGGCTCTGAACGTGCCAGTGTTTGTGGTGGTAACCAAGATAGATATGTGTCCAGCTAACATCTTACAAGGTAAAGAGACATGATTATGCTTCACAGGTATGCATCATACATGTCTGCATGTAGTTAAACAGGCTTGAGTGGCATTCTCAGCCCTTAATTTTTAATATATAGGTAAATAAATCAGGGAGATCAGGCTGATCAGCGATCAATTTTGATTAATATCTGGGTAGTATTTTTGAAAGTCAGCTGTTGGCAGTGCACATTTGAATATATAAAACCATGTAAAATGCGCATAGCTTTTCTAAATGTAAATCAAAAGGAGACAGTTGAATTTTTTGATAACAGAAAACCAGAGGCAGACAAAAAAAAAAGAAATTTGAGCAATAAGCAAAACATAATTCTCTGTTCGAAGACCTGAATAACATGCCACAGTTAACAAAGTTAAAAGAAAATAGACTTTCTTTGTTGTCGTGTGGAAATGGAAGCTGTCATGTCCATGTGGACTCGTCTGTGTTTGTCTACAGAAACACTAAAATTATTACAAAGGTTATTAAAGTCACCTGGCTGCAGGAAAATCCCCGTTCTCGTCCAGAACAAAGATGATGTAATCGTCACAGCATCAAACTTCAGCTCTGAAAGGTGAGCGCCCCGGTGGGGGGGTTTGCAGTCAAAATCTTAACATATGCTTAGATTCCAACAGCACTTTTCTTCTCCGATTCGCTTCGCTCTGTAGGATGTGCCCAATTTTCCAGATCTCAAATGTGACGGGGGAGAACATGGACCTGCTGAAGATGTTCTTGAACCTCCTCTCGTCCAGAGCCACTTTTAGCAACGACGAACCCGCGGAGTTCCAGATAGACGACACATACTCGGTGCCGGTAAGGAAACACACACACACAGCTATTCCATCGAAGCCGTCTCATCTTTCTTGATGTTTGAAAGTGTTTTCCAACAGCTCAACGTGGCCAAACGACTTTGGTTGTCTGGTTTAGGTTTAACTCTGGAAGGGATGACGTAGTAGGTTCAGCGTCTGCAGTTGCAGGTCACTGCTGACGCATTTGCTGTCACTAGCAACAGTGACATCACACAAGCAGGATTTGGCCTCTGCACAGGAAGGCTGTCAGTGCTTTCATGGAAAAGCAGAATAATATAAAAGGATTTTCTTCTTTGGTGGAAAACGGAGGACACGCTCGTGTTTTCTGAGTTTGAAGTGAAGCCTGTGGGTGTTGTGCGTTCTTTATATTTACACTCCGCAACAGAAAATATTGAAAAGTTCTCTCTTATTTGAATTAATTTTCTGTATCAGATTGTAGGGACGACACGAGCTGATCACATCGATCTTCTGTTGGCAGGGTGTGGGTACTGTAGTTTCAGGGACTACGTTACGTGGAATGATACGGCTCAACGACACGCTGCTCCTAGGCCCCGACCCGCTCGGCATTTTCATCCCGATAGCTGTAAAGTCGATACACCGCAAGAGGATGGCTGTCAGAGAGGTGCGCGGTGGACAGACCGCCTCATTCGCCTTAAAAAAGGTTTGTTGGAAAACAGTTTGGCTTCTTTACGCCATCAGGACGCACAATCTTTTAAAGTTTTTCCTTCAACACCAGCTCCATTTGTCCTCTATTTTTTTTATCTCAGTCCTTGCACATTACCATTTTGGATTTTTTCTTTCTTTTGTTTTGTTAAGCCACTTAACACCAAACTATAAATCTTTTAAGCTCTGAAAAAAGCACTTGCCCCAAAGGGATGAGCCCGTGTGACAGAGCAGCTTCTAAAGAACTACTTTTCCATGGCAACAAAGCATTTGCACAGCACTTTTGGATGGCAATTTTGAAACTTTGAAAACAACTTTCATATAAATGAAACATTCGTATTCATTTGTTTATATTCAAGAATCTGTAATCAGTTAGTGTTTTGTATTAAATCTGTCTGCACCACTGGATTAATTTGATTTTCCTTTCTTCTCACTCCTTCATGTTCACTGTCTCAGATCAAACGCTCATCAATAAGGAAAGGAATGGTAATGGTTTCACCAAAGCTAATGCCTCAGGCTACGTGGGAGTTTGAGGCCGAGATTTTGGTGCTACATCATCCAACCACGATATCCCCAAGATACCAGGCAATGGGTCAGTTAAAGCACCGTCAGAAAGGATGCGGGCCATTTTTTGCCTTCTTTTGTTCTCCAACAGGTTTGACCTTTTTAAAACCTCACAGTGTGAGTAATCGGATCCTTCTCTTTGCATCCCATTAGTGCACTGTGGCAGCATTAGGCAGACCGCCACCATCCTAACAATGAACAAAGACTGTCTCAGGACAGGGGACAAGGCCTCCGTCCATTTCCGCTTCATTAAGACCCCCGAGTACCTGCACTGTGATCAGAAGCTGGTGTTCAGGGAAGGACGCACCAAAGCTGTGGGCACCATCACAAAGGTACAGACCTGTGATCTATGCTGTCTTCACGTGTTCATGTGTAGGCTGTGTGCGGTTGTTTAGTAAAGCAGGTGTAACAAACGATTGTGCTTTCAGCTCCTCCAATCAGTGAGCACCCAGGCTGCTAGAGCTCAGCAGTCCAAGAATCAGGCCATTAAGAAGGCCAGTAAAGAGGGCCCGGCAGCCAGTGAGGACGCGGCATGTACAGCACGGCCCCAAAGTCCGAGCACAGCACAGCCATCAGTGAGTAGATCAAGAAATTAAGAAAAATGTGCAGGAAATCATTTTTAAAACATTGGTTTCAAAATGGGTTGCCGGTGTATGTCTGTGTAATTGAATTTGTGCAATTAACGTTCATTTTAGTAGCAGTTCGCATATCAAATGGACCTGAAAAAAGTTTTTTTTTCTTCTTATGACTTTTCTCATATCTGACAATTAACGTCTGTCACCGTCTCCCTTTTTCTGCCCTTCCTTTCTCACATCCCTTTGGACTGACATGCGAGATTTATTTAAAATTAACCACCATTTTCCTTCTTTTGCTGCTTTTCTTTTCCGCTTACATCCACTGCCTTCTCGTTTCCCTCTCACACCCCTCTACCCTCCCTCTCCTTTTTCTGTTTCTCATTCATTATGCTGTCATTTTAACACCTCGTTTTTCCTGCACCCGCCCCTCTCCCTCCCTCCCTCCCTCCCTGTCTTGGCATGCTGCGTCAGACAGTGGCAGAGGAGGAGGCTCTTTGTAAAGATGACAACAAAGAAAACAAGGTAAAGGCGTGTCCGCGGGATGCAGGAGTCATGATGGTGTCTCCGTAAGCTTTCATGTTCGCTTGTTTCTCCTCTTTCTGAGCATGCACCTTTCCTTCCCTTTGTACAGGCTTTGTTCATTCAGTTTTCCTCACCGGTATCGTCCAGTCTAACCTCAAAACCTTGCTGCTAAGCAGCCTCTCCCAAATAGATCCCTGTAACATGAAGAACTGGAAGAGTTACTCACAATTTAAGAGAATTGTGTAAAATAACCTGCTTATTTTCCTCCTCATATTTGGTTATTTATTTGAAATGACTTTTTATTCAAACTACTAATGAAACCTTGAATTTGTGTTTTTTGCACGTTAATTAAAGCTCAAGTTAAAGGTTGACCCTATAACAAGAGTTGTGGTTCCATTTTCCAAAGCTGTTCCCACGAGGAATCCTTTTTACTTTCTCCTTTAAGTAACTTTAACCTAAAAACGTAACTTTTTTAGTTATTTTTAGTTAAATAATTTGGATGAGGACCACAGTCCTTCCTACAAAGTGTCTTTAACAAAACCAGTTCTGCTCACTTTTTGGGTTTATTTCTGCTCTTGGAACTGACTCCCTTTGCTGTTGATTTGCATCTCCAGCTTAAGCCAGGAGGTGGAGGACGCCGGCGAGGGGGTCAGAGACATCGAGGGAAGGGCCTGAATCCTCCAATCATGTCTTCAGCAGTGTCTGCAGGAGCAACAGGCACATCATGAAGACACGGTCTTTGCAAACACTTTTTAAGGGAAGAGAAGTGGTTGTCTGACCCTCTGCTGACCATCGCCTGTCATCACTCCTTTCTTTAATACAAAGGAATTATTCAGCCGTTTCACAAAGGGAGTCGATTATTTTTTCGTTTACAGACAAAGTTGACATCTTTATTGAGGTAATCATCCATGAAGTTTTTATTTTTATTTTTATTTAATTTAGTTTGAAAGTCACATTATATAACAATCTGTTTTTAGTAAGAAGCGTGTCAGGGATGTTCACCTTCTTTTAGTTAATTGGAACTCCCAGTAGAACCATTAGTCACTTTTTCTGCCTCGTCTCCAGCCTTCAAATTCCCTCCTTCTGTCACCGTACATCATTTACTCGTTATAAATCCTTCTGTGTTCCCCTCTCCACACCGAACTGTCACTGATATTCCCTTTGGATGGCCAAGGGTTGTCTTCGCCACACTATTGCATCATAAACTCGACTGGGCGGGTTGTGGTTAATTGTTGGTTCTTTGTGACAGAATAGTATAAATGTGCATTGGAATGGACCTGAAAGGGAATTGATTCTAAACTTGGATGGGGTGGGGGTTAAGACAAAGTATTAATTAGATGTAGCTGAAGTCTTTTTTTTAATTTTTTTTTATACCACTGTTTTTGACAGGTGTTCCCTGAAGGAAAAAAAAACCCTGATGAGAACTTTTATGGGAATTTTGTGGCTATTTAAGGTAATTTATTACCCTGTGAGAGCTACAGCTATTAGAATATCCCTTATTACCAAACATCCATTGTCACCTGCTTCATCCCCCCTTCCATATGAATGGGAATGTTATCAATTTTATGCAGAGCGCATTTAACTCCAAGCTTCATTTGCAGTTCTGCTAAATGTAATAGGTGTTTCCAGATGGGGGGGCGGGGGGAGGGACAAACGATCCTTTCCTTTTTGACAAGTCTAAATGCAGACCAGCTTTATCACGTTTAACATTGTGCAATTCCCTTTCATTGTTACTCTTATTTGTTTGAAAACAAGCTGAAAAAGCTTGAGCACAGTTTTGATTTGCTTGTGTAACCAAATGATGCACAAGCGCCACACATGTCAGCACATGTGAAAAATGATGTCATGCCAAGGAGAGGTGTAAAACTAGACTCACTAAATTTGGGCTGCACCTTACCTTTTGTACTCATCTTGTAACAATTAAAGTGACTTTGAAAACAAATTTCAAAGCTTCAGGGTTAAAAAAAACAAACATGTAAAACATGGTAAGTCTTTTTCATGCTGCCAGAGATAAACTATGATAAATGTTGAATAATGTACCGATAGGAGGTGTTTCTATCTAAATCAGTTTTGGGTACAGTTTTGAATCTAAATGCCAAATTTTCCTTTTTTTGTGTTAAAGATGTGAAGACATGTTGGTAGTACTCAAGGCAGACACAAACCACTGATTTTAGGCGGGAAATTTACCAAGGGCACCCTTCCTCCCTAGTGATTTTTCACAATAGCTTTTTTCTCTCAAACATTTTCTATTGGCCTCTGCATTGAAATATGTCAAAGCTTTGAGAAGGATGAAAATGATGTACTGCTGGAATATTCATCTCTTTTTGACTTCGACAATATAACATGGATTCATGTTTGAAGAGATGCATTTGTGTCCTTTTTCTGCACTAAAATGCAAATTTTGTGGAAAACCTGACGATAAAAAAAATGCAGTTTAAATTAAGTGGTGCCACTTTATGTTGGATATACTTTTAAAATAAAGATGTTATAAAAAGATGCTTTTAAGAATGTGTTTTGTCAAATCCTTTGCCTGCCATGACCCTCCTCATTAGTCCAGGAGCTGGTCCAGCTGGCTCTTCACTGTAAGTTATCGGTATCGGCTGCCTCGGTTGCTTGTTTGATGCTGAAAATGCAGGATTTAGAATTGTGGTTATATCTTCCATCATGGATTTTCTGGTTGACTTATAAATGTTCTGGATTAGAAAAAAACGTCTTAATTGTCAATTTCTAAAAGAACTGCTGGGACCAGATGCATAAAACACATTTTAATATTTTTCTTTTTATATTTTATAAAACAGCGGATATTATTTGGAAGACACTATTTGCACCACAGCTTATTGGGTATGATAATGAAACATCAGCGAAACTAGTGAACTAAAACTAAAATACTCATCAGCAAAGAAAAAAAAATGGAAAAAGTCACGAGCGATGAGCCCTCTAAGTTCAGAGCACAGGGGCCCACCGAGGGAGCAAGAAGGGCTCAGATTATAAATCAGCAACCACCGGTTCACATATCACATCAGGGGGTCCTTCCCTATTTGCACCATCTGTACTTTATATGCTGATTAAAGACCATCAGGTTGTAGATAATAAAAAATATTCATGAATCTTCTTTTTAAATATCACCATGGAAACCTAAGAGATAATCTGTCAGAAAATAATTCCTAAAGTTATTTACTTGCTTTTTATAGTCTAATTAGAGGTCAAGATGCACAACTATAGTTATACAAAGTAAATGAAATTTTTTTTAAAAGTGGCACCTCAGATAAAGCAATGTTATATATCTATGTTGAATAAGTATTTAAGCACTGTTTTCCACATTGGGATATCGATGCCAAATAAATTCCATCAAGCATCCTCAAAGAAAACCTTTCTTTTATATATATATATATCAGCTTGTGTCAAGGAAAATACCAACATTTTCTATGTGTACACAACTGTTGATGCATCTGGCTCATGGGCTGGAAAGTTGTGCCACTAACTACTTTTACTTCCTAAATTTGAATCATGACTTGTGAAAAGCTTCAAGGTAAGTCGTTTGGGACTCTAAAGTCAACCCTGATTTCTTTCAAATTGGCATATCATTCAGTGGTTTTGATTTGAGTCTGTTTCTACATCTTGCTTGTCTTGTTTTGGGATGTGAGAAGAAAGACTGCAGACTTATAATTGGCTTGATGTGTAATACAAATATCTTTATCCTAACTGTTGTGTAAATGTTGTGGAGTTGCTACATGAATATTCGCAACTGTTGAACCGTCTTGCTCATTTAATTGCAGTGAAAGTTTGTCTGGTGAAATCATTAAAAGGTGATCTATTGTTTATTAGCTGGTTCGTCACAATAGCATAATAGAAGATCTAACAGAAAATCAGTCATATTGGATTTCAATTGTTTTGCTCTAGCATTCCAGCAGCTTTTTTTGGCCTAAGGAAAGTTTGCTTACTCTTTACTGCAAGTGACTTTCAATCAAATCTGCTTCGTAGTTCGGAAAGAGTAGTTTAGAGTCATTCTCCCATTCGTACCATTTTGAAATGCTGATTGTTTTTGTGGAAATTCAATCAGAGTTGCTCTATAAACCTGTCAACCAGTTTCCGCAGTTTGCGTTCATCCAAATGGATCAAATGGAAATAAAGAGAGGCCTCAGACACGGAGAAGTGGGTCAGTGACTCAGATGATTTGTAAGAGTAAGTCAGTTTTTTTTTATTAAAAGAACCCCTTGCATAATGTATTCGTTATGTTCTCCCTCTACATGACCATTCATGTGTTTTTTTTTAATAGAATTAAACTCTAATTACACAAAGTCATTATATGTTAAATAATTTTAGTGGCTGAAACAAAGTCATGTAGTGTGAAAGGTCTCTAATCAAGTCTGTGGGATTAAATGATCCATGTCACTTGAAAAAAAAAATTTCTGCACGAGCATTATGGAAAAGTCATGATAAATGATCAAATAAAGGGAACAGACTCAAAAGTAGATTTTTTTCCCCAGTGTTGGAGTGAATATGCTGGACTGCTTCTTAGTTGTATTCTACGCATTAGACAAACAACGGGTTCAATAACAGAACAATACATTGCCACCTGTTCGTTTCTCATTCTTGGTTTCTTGTCCCAATGTTCCCTTAGTACTGCTCTTTTACTCTACCCCTTATTTCCCACTCCTCCTGTATATGTGGTTTTATATTCTTCTCTATTCCTTTGCCAGTCTCTTGCCATCTGTCATCTTTCTGTTATTTGTAGTTCCTGGCTTTTTACCATTTTGTTCCCTTACTTTGATCCTGTACTTGTACTTGTCTCTTGTTTTTGTTTTTCTATCACCTGACTAGTTTTTGTTCATTTATAGATTAAATAACACAAACAAAATTAATGAAAGAACTGCACTGAATAGTTTGTATTTGTTAACTAGAACCCCATCAGACTCACCCCTGGTTTAAGACAGAAAGCAGAGGTGAGGCCATGTGTCTAATTTATTCAACGTTAAATGTCTGCAATTTTACAAAGTTAATGAACGATAAAACTCCTTTAATTGCTCCAAGCGGAGGAAGCATGGAGCATTTAGTTCTAATTTCATCATGAGCATATTCTGCAGCAGAGAAACCAATTCCTTTAATTAGCTGAATGCAGTGTGTGCCTGTGTTCAATTTTAAGGTTTTGAACAAGAATGGATCCAGTCAGCTCTAAAGAAAAAGTGCAACTCAGAGCCATTCTGAAAATTCATCCTTTTTCAATATGTTTGAGTTGAAAACCACCATCTTCTGTTTTATCTTATGTCAAAATTATTTGTTTCAGTTATCATTTAGAGCAAACATTTTTAGGGTCTGTCAGCCTACATATTGAAGAATGGTATAAGACAAGACAAATGCTGCTTGATTAGTATGTCTCCATAGAGCCTTGTGGTCAGGATCAGTTGGAGGAACATATGGTAACTAAAGACACCTTCCTTTGTTTATTTGGTTATAAACGTCTCAATGAGAGCGAATGGCACAGGATCTGTCTGGATAACTCTGAAGGGTGATATTTACTGTTTTATGCATTATGCCTGTTGCATGGATTATTCCTTTTGCAGATCAGCACAATCAGATGTGTCTGTCTTACTAAATAACACTGATGTCAGTGTCATTTAAATCTGAATGTGTCAATCATTGATTGAATATATTATTGTTCGCTAACGTGCTTCAGCAACAGAGACAGTTTACATTACGCTTTTTGCCGCTGATGTTAAAATATATGAAACAGCGTCTTTTTATCAAATTAAAGTATCATTCAAACCTTCGGCTATGTCTTCATACGGTGTGTCAGGCATACATCACAGTTTGAGGCTGCAGCATCTTTGAAAAGTATTAAAGACAATCGTTGCTTGCTTATATTAGACATTGAACAAACCATCTTAAAATACTTAAAACTCATTAGTATCTCAAATCCTCTGCTGTCTAGACTAAATGGTTTTCTAATTATGCGTAATTAGATGATCACTTTCTAAAATATGATTTTCTCAATTTCAGGTTAATCAATTTGCAAGGAAAATTTATGATGACTGATCATTTCTTTATACTTTATGTGTTATTCAAATGCCATCATACCCTCATTAATTAAATCTGTTGCATGATATTTGAGCACTGTAACACATTACGAAATAATCATAATATGAAGAAAATGTTTTAAAAAACAGAACAGTGAAGCTTTTAGGACTTTGTGTTCAGTAACACTGTGGTGTTGAACATAAAAGGTGAAATGCCATTTCAGATGTTCTTTAGTTCTGATCCCCGACAGAGGTTGTCCCTGTTGTTTTTCTTGTTCAGTGTTCCTCATGAAGATGCTGCCTTTAAAGGCATTTTTCAAACCTTTACCTTCAGAGTTTTTTTGACTTGTTACAGACAGCAGAGCTTAGTTTTTGGTCCTTGGCAGTCTGTGCCCATTCATGCAAAAGCAGTTTGCACCGG